GGAAACACGGTTCGAACGTGTTTCCATCGCGTCCGCCGGCCGTTATAAACGACCCGCGCGAGTGGAGGCCAGCCTCCTTTATCAAAACTACATTCTGCCCGAATGATTCCGATGGCCGGCGGTCCGTCGACGGGCCGAGGGGGGCCGAGAAATTAATCGTTGTACGCGGCCGGATGCGTCCGCGACGGTTGCCGGCAGCAAGCAGGGAGCACAAAGAAAGTTTCCCCCCCTCCTCCTCGCCCTCCGACGAGAAAAAGAGCCGCCGTTGAATAGCAAAGCAGCTTCCACGGGACGCGAGAAAACTCGTTCGAAACTCGTGAAATCATTTCGCGTGCAAGTTTGACGCAATTTGCATGTGCAATACGTTCCGGCGGCGCGGCGCCGCTCGTCCCGGCCACCCTCTGCGGCCACCCTCGAGCGCGTCTTGGCGTTCCGCTTTCGGACGAGGCCGTCCCCGCCGGGCCATCAAAGCGTCCGATTTCCCGGCGATTAAGTTACATTACGCGTAATGACGGGACCAAGGCCGGTCAAAGGGTGCTTTACCGAACCCGGCCGCCGCGGCTGGGTCACGGGAATTAATGCCGTTCCCCCGGGAGAACAATGGACAAAGGTGTTCCCCGGCGGGCGACGTTCCATTTGCCAGCGCCGAGGATAATTGACAGGGAGCCCGGTCCGTTGAAAAATCCCTCTACCTCCGTCGGACCGACGTCGGACGGCTCCGTATCCGAATCGGTACACGCTGCGGCGCAATAACCAATGCATTCTTACCAAGTTACACGCGTCGGAGGCTCCGCATCGCACACCATTGTCCTGCCAATTGTCGGTGGATCATCTGTCGCACGTTAACATACTCCGGTCGAGAAGGACTGAGAGAGAGAGAGAGAGAGAGAGAGAGAAAGAGAGAGAGAAAGTAAGAGAGAGAGAAGAGAGATAGCGACAGAGAGGAGAGACGCGCGCGATAGTTGCACGTCGAGGACGACGGAGTTCCCACTTGTCTCGCGATCTCCTCCGAGATTTTCCTCTCCGCTTCCGACGGAGCGGACACCTCGCAGAGGGTTGCGCCGACTGCGTAGAAACGTCCGAGCAGTGGCCAGGCGATGGATTATCGACGGAACAGGGTGTCGATGACGCGACACGGCGACAGAAACGCGGATAAAACGACACACCTCTGTGCCAGCGGCGAGAGCCAGAGCTGATGCGGACCGCGGAAGGGAGGCTGCGAAACTGAGATGAAACCACGGCGCAACCCCGGTGCGCGCGCGCACCAAAACCACCCCCGGAATACACGGAAGCAGCCCGGCCAACCGAACGCTACCCCTCTACGTCCCTCCCTACTTACTTCTCTCCAGGACGACTACTACGACGGCGACGACGACGGTGAGGACGACGAGGACGTCGAGGACGACTATGCCGCGTCCATTTTTCCTCTCTCTGTCCCTTTGTCCTTCGCCTCCTTCCTCCGCTCGCGCCGTATTCCACCGTGGAACATCTCCTACTCCGCGCGAATCAAACTCTCGAGGCTTTTACGGACAGCGTTCCCACTGTTATTGGCGAACGCTTCCGGGTCGGTAGACCCCAGACGAATCCACGAACCGCTCCTTTGTTTCGTTCCCGCGGCGTTAATTGATCGATCGACCGATTCCAAGGCGAGCGGAAGGAACCGCGAGCGTCCTTTGTACGATGGAGCGAGCGTGACGCGTGGGAATGGAGGCTCGCAGGCACTACCGGCGACGCAGCAATTGGGACCGCCGCGAATTGACACATACGCTCGCTGTTCTGGCTTCGGGAGCAACGAAGCCACGCCTATCAAGAGTTCGGCACTGTTCGAATAATATTTCGATTAATATCACGGATAATATCTCGAATAATATTTCGAACAACATTCTGATCGAGAAATATCTCCAATAATATTTCATTCGCGACACATCTCGAATGAGCTCCTCGGACAAAATTCTATCCGAGACGTATCTCGACTAAAATTTGATTCGGATAACGCGTCGGAGAAACTCTTCGCGGAAGGCACTGTTCGAGAGAAATATTTCGTATCGAAGAATCTGTTCGAAACGTTAAACGAATCGAATTTCATTCGAAATATTTCTCGGGAAAGAATTTTCTACGAACGGCTCGTTCGAAATATCGTACGAATAAAATCGTACTCGAGGAATTAATTCGGCATACGTTTCGGATACAATTTTACATTCGAGGAATCGATTCGATGTATTTGCCGTGTAAAATTTTCTCCGGCGAATTTGTCGGAAATATCGCGCGAATGAAATTTCATTCCAGGAACTTGCCGTGATAAATGTTATTCGAACGATGCCCGCGACACCGACGCCCACACCTCGGGGGCGAGCCAAGACAAATTCTATTCCGCCAGGATTTCGGACAGAGTAAAGGCTTTTCGTAGGTCGCCGTTGATCGCTCGTGGGAGTTGCTTTTGCCTCGCGAGACATTGTTCCGTAACGCGGAGAGGAAGCGGACGTCGTCGATGCAGGACCGGCAAAGGATCGAGGGTGTCTTCTTTCTGCGGCGCGGCGTCGCATGGCCCGCAGCTTCCGGGGCGAGGAGAGCTCGCTGGCCACGGCTGGACTAGAGGATTGCGGAAGAGGATGTCGAAGACGGCTGAAAATAAGAAGAAAGGATGAAGTTTCGCAGGAAGCGGGCAGAAGGCGGAGGATTAAAACGGGGGAACTAACGCGGTCTTAACGGAGCTCGAGCGCTCGCGCGACGGGGAACCCGACGTGACTGGAATCGGCCGACGTTTCCGTATCGGAGTTCAACGGTTGTCCGAGGGTCGACGCGAAAAACTGGCCGAATATATGGGAAATGATGGGAACGCGTTCGAGGTTTGCCGGGCCGAGGCGGCCGCGGTTCCAGCTCGCGCGAGCGACGCTCAATGGCTGCACCAACAGGCCTCGGAACAATGTTGCTCATTCCGGGCGACTTTAATTGGCAATTACCGGGCCCGTTGGCAAACTTGCGCCATTTTAAATTCGTTTAATCGAACCGCGTCCATACCGAGCGGGCCGCTTCTGCTTCCAATTTACGGCCGGCTCCTCGCGCTCGCTCGAATTCCCGGTGAATCGGTAATCGACCGACGCCGAACAGTCTTCCCTGATCGGAAAATTCGAGCCGGCCGTCGGGAATAATCGACAGTCGTGTTTCCGAGCCGCGATTTTCGTCCCGCGATTTTCGTGCCCGCCGGTCCAACCGGCTATAGAAATTTATCGACTAGCTCCGGCCGTAGGTGAGTTAATACACGCCCCGAACCCTCCGAGCGGATTTAGTTTAAGCGGCGGCTCCGCGAACTTGACCCACTGCCGATGCTGGACCGGGGTCGTGTAACTTTTCGGGCGAAGGAAAATGCATTCTTTGGCAGAAACTCGGAAAGGGTCCGCGCGCACCACTTTTACGCGCGGACCATTTATTCGTAGACCGGAGAGGTTCTCCTTTAAGGGCACCGAGCAGCACCGAGGCAACGTAATGTTCTTATCCTCGAGCGCGTCCGATTCTTTGTGAAATTTTTTCAAATTCCGAGACGCGGAAGATTCTTCCGCCACGGCGGAACGACCGAACAGCTGCGATATAGATTGCCCGGCAAATCCGTGGTATTCCGTTTCTATTAAGAAACGAGATTCGATCATCCGGATCGACTGGATAAGATTGCGAGCGAAACGTTGCGTTAACGCCGCGTCGGTCTTTAACGGGTTAATTACCATTCGCCGGGGCTTCCGATAGCCGGAAGAACGCCGTTTGCTTCTCGAGTCCTTCTCTCTCTCTCTCTCTCTTGCGGCAAGCACGCGTCGATCGGCGTTATTTTATATTCCGTGTCCCGGGAAGGCCGCCGGAATCGAATAATCTCGCTTCGATAAAGTAACCTTACATCTTTTCGCAATTTAATGCGGTCGAGAAAGAGAAAGAGAGAGAAAGACTCCGCAGCGAAAAGCAGAAGAAGACTCCGTGTACACAGGAAGGCTTCTCGGTGGAGAAACCTTGCCTCGGCCGTGTGCCGGGGATCCTTAATAAAAATGTACGGTCACGGAGTAGCCTTAGGTGGTGAAGATTGATGGGAGCGCGCCGCTGCGCGAGGAACGCGGATCGTTCCGAGCACGGAAGGAGTTCTCCTTTCGGTTCGAATTTGCCAAAATCAGTCGGCGCTAACCCCGCTGGAATTCCGAGCGACTCCATGGTCCCCATTAATTAGCCAGTGGACGGAACGGAAGTTGGTGCCGGGCTGAACGGACGTAATCGCCGCTTTCGCGGGCAAATGAAAATTTAAGGCGGCCGTTACAGGACGACGACTGGTCCACGGCTTTCTCGTGCACCAGTATACAGGGTAGTTCGCCGGGTACTATCGCCACGATTTTCGTCATCGTTATCGTACAGAGCAAAAAAATGTTCACGCGCAAAGTCGAATGATTTCGAGAGTGGCGCATTTCGGTGTTGCGAGTTCATTTGTAGGCAGACCCGTAGAACAGACACGAAGATCATCGGTATTTTTCGAAATGGGGTCTTCATTTTATGTCTTTTTTCCTGCACGAATCGGTCAAGCTTAACGTTCTCTACACAAAGATATTAACTAATTAATATCGAAACCGTTCAACTTCATTCTAGGAATCGGCATTTCCGAGGAGATTGCGTCGACGTTACGTTACCAGGCCGAGGAGAGAATGATAAAGAATTCATGGTACAACCGAGCGGGGGATGATCCTACCGGAAAAAATAAGCGAAAAATTTAGCATAACATTCTTTTACCCTGGACTCGAATTTTCGAGAAAATCGAGTTTAAAACGATATTCGTCTTCGCGAAGAATTTAATTGTCTATTCTTTAACCGCAGTTGTCTCCGCCCGAGATAGCGTTTACAAACGTAATTTATTGCGCGCTTAAAGCAGTATAAAGTGTCCTTAGCGACAGTTTCTATTATCTTTTTCCTTTATTCTCTCGCGTAGATCATCCGTCCGCTCGGTTGTACGACGAATTCCCAGCCTGTATACAAACATCCTTCGCTACGTGTAACAACACCGAGGAAGATCGAGATGGTGATATCTGGTGAAAACCAGAGCCGGTACACTCGCGAGAAATAAGTTGTTTTCGCAGTTGCTAACTGTCTAGCAAGAAAGAAAGAGAGAGAGGATAGCGTCCGCGTCCTCGTGGCATCCGGTCGTCGAGAGGCTCTGGGTTAGGCGAACGGTGCCGTAGACGCCTGGAACAGGGAGAGACAGTTTCAGCAAAACTGTCGTTTCTCAGACGGACGCGGCGTGAGATAAAACCTTCATTTATCCGGGGGCTCCAGTGTTCGGGTGAAACAATCGGTCCCGCGTCCTCCGATACGCTCGGCGTCCGCCCGCGAGGTCTCCGCGAGGGCGTTGCCGTAATTACACAGCCTCCTATTCAGCGTCGCCTCGAGCGCGTCCCAAGACGGCAATTCGTCTCCGTTCCTGGATTCGTCTCGCAGCCGTCGGGCATTCGGCGCGTTCCAGGTCGGCGACTCCTCCCGGCTGATCATCTCCTCGGATTTATTCGTCGCGGCGCCGCGATCGAGCTGCTGGCCGGCTGTACGCGCGGCCGAGCCTCCTGCAATTGAAAAATCGATTAGCGTATTGTGCGCGCTATAGCCGGCGGAGTCTCTCGGCCGCGAAAAAATGAGAGCCGGAGCGGCGGCGGCGGCCGGTATCCGCGCTGCGCGCGTATACAAAACGGATCGGCCGTGGCCACCCACTCGAGCCGAGCTGAATGCAAATAACGCCGGCATGTCGGGCGGAATAAAATAATTGACTCGGTGAGAAAACCGATCGGTATCGTCGGGGCCACGTGACCCCGGAATTAGAGCGAAATCACGAGCGCGACGAACCTTTGAGCGCGTCCCATATAGGCGGCCGGTATCTCCGGAGCGTAATCGTGCCGGCGAACGAATCGATCGAGGAACTCCATGACGAAACCGAGTTCGAGTCCCAGCCGGAACCACGGTGTCTCGTCAGGGCGTTCCGTCGCAGGGTGTCGTGCATCTCTTGCATCTCCCTCTCGAGCTGCCTCTGGTGCTCGAGGATGATGCGCCGTTCGCGGATGCCGGGCGATAATCGAAGCGACGAATCCACGAGATCCGATTCAGGCCTGGAACGGGGAAAAGTTGAAACCGTTGCGCATAGCGGAAGAGGGCGATGCGGCCGTCGACGACGATCCTTCGCCGCTTTGACTCCGACCCCCGGATGCCGTCGGGTTTAATCGTAAAATGCTCGAACGAGAGAGCCCGCGCGGAAAGCCAAAAGCGTCGAAGCGCGACGGCCTGTACGAACGAACGCGTGCCTGGCTCTGTAGATTTGTCTCGGCGATCCGGTCGCGTCCGAACTGCTCGGGGCGCTCCTCCTCGAACGAGCGGACTCCCTCGACGCCCGTTGCAACATCTCCAGCATGGTCAGCCGCTGGTCCCGAGGCAGATGCGCCGCCACCTCCTGCAAAATCTGATCGGACGAATTTGTGAGCGTTTTTTCGACCGTGCGGAAGTTCGATTAGAAAGAAAGCCGGCCGAAAGCGAGGGGTGGGTGGGTGGTAGGGTGGTTCGGTGTCGCTGGGTACGGCGGCGGAGGCGAGGGATTAAACTTAGTTCCGAAGCGCGAAACGCATTTTCCATAAGCATAAGGGAGAGCCGGGGCTCTCGGGCTGTCGCTCTTTAAGTAGAAAGTTAGTTGGCACACGGAGGACGGAGACGAGGAGCAGGAGCCAAGAGCTACTCGGCTGGCTGGTATAGCTCGCGAGGGCGCTTCGGGAAAGTAAATACGTGTCCACTTTTTCCCTTTTTATTCGCCTTCGGTGGCTCCGGGGGGATACATACGCAGCCGAGGCCGTGTACGTACGAGCATCCACGACGCCGAGAAACCGGGGGGAGGGGGGGGGCGCGAGACGAGACTCCTTTTTATTCCGCGTTCAAGAGACAGTTCCGTGGCCCGGCTATTGAACGATTCCATGGGGCCGGTGGGCCGTCGGGCTGCCGGCGGAGGGGAGGGCGAGGGGTGGTTGGAATCGTCGGAGGATATCCAGAAAAATCGTTCACACCCCGGGGATATAATTTTCATCGACGGGATCTCCGGCGATGCTTTGCATCGATAGTTTCGATCGGGCACCGATATCCCGGCCGCCATTGTCGGGGCTACTTTTTAAACGAGGTTATTGCCTTATCCGAACGAAGGCGCGCTGAATAACTGCGCGGCCCAGGGAATTCCATTATGGACGCGTGGCAATGGATCATCTTCGTGCGGATAGAAAATCTCGACTCTCTCTCTCTTTCTCTCTCTCTCTCTCTCTCTCTCGCTCTCTCTTTCGCTCCTGGAGAGACGAAAAACATATTCAACCCTCTCGCTCGGGATGAACTCTCGTCGAAGCGATACTCCGCGGCTTCCAAATGACGGAAGCACGCGCAGCCGGAAATTAGTTGAAGAGCGTGGCCCCGGGCGCTCCGACAACCACCGTCGCGAATAAACAAAGCGGAAAATATCACGGAGATGTGCCGCATCCCCTATGCGGGTTCGATTGTACCCGCTGGATGACGAAGCTGCGGAAAGATTCGCCGGGGTTGCTATTCTAACCCCGAACGAAACGCGACGATTCCGGGAACCTCGACGTTCGACGACGCGATAATTGCGAACGATCGACACCGATATTCGATCGGCTACAGGACGTTTAACAACCAGCGTTGCGAGGAGGTGCCGGATTTGGTTAGAAGTTGGAAGATTAAATGGTAGAGACGGAACTTTAGGATTGGGGGTGAGAAGGTTGTTCCAGGGGTTCTTCTTCCTCGCTGTCGTTCCTAAATATACAGGATGTTCCATAATTATGTTAACACCCGGATATGATTCTTGAGGTCGTTTGAAACAACTTTTTCCTTGGCGGAAATGCAATCCGCGGCTTCGTTTGCGAGTTATTAACGAAGAACACTGACCAATGAGGGGCGAGGTATGCTGACGCGAGGCGGCCGAGCCAATGAGCGGAACTGGGCGTCGACCGCTAGTTGGCTTGGCCGCCTTGCGCCAGCTGAGCTCGCCTCTCATTGGTCAGTGTTTTTCGTTAATAATTCGTAAACGAAGCCGCGAATTGNTCTCTCTCTTTCTCTCTCTCTCTCTCTCTCTCTCGCTCTCTCTTTCGCTCCTGGAGAGACGAAAAACATATTCAACCCTCTCGCTCGGGATGAACTCTCGTCGAAGCGATACTCCGCGGCTTCCAAATGACGGAAGCACGCGCAGCCGGAAATTAGTTGAAGAGCGTGGCCCCGGGCGCTCCGACAACCACCGTCGCGAATAAACAAAGCGGAAAATATCACGGAGATGTGCCGCATCCCCTATGCGGGTTCGATTGTACCCGCTGGATGACGAAGCTGCGGAAAGATTCGCCGGGGTTGCTATTCTAACCCCGAACGAAACGCGACGATTCCGGGAACCTCGACGTTCGACGACGCGATAATTGCGAACGATCGACACCGATATTCGATCGGCTACAGGACGTTTAACAACCAGCGTTGCGAGGAGGTGCCGGATTTGGTTAGAAGTTGGAAGATTAAATGGTAGAGACGGAACTTTAGGATTGGGGGTGAGAAGGTTGTTCCAGGGGTTCTTCTTCCTCGCTGTCGTTCCTAAATATACAGGATGTTCCATAATTATGTTAACACCCGGATATGATTCTTGAGGTCGTTTGAAACAACTTTTTCCTTGGCGGAAATGCAATCCGCGGCTTCGTTTGCGAGTTATTGACGAAAATTATCTGACCAATGAGAAGCGAGCTCGACTGGAGCGATGCGGCCGAGCCAATGAGCGGTCGAAGGCCAGTTCTGCTAGTTGGCTTGGCCGCCTTACCGCTAGCATATCTCGCCTCTCATTGGTCAGGTTATTTTCGTCGATAACTCGTAAACGAAGCCTCTGATTGCATTTTCGCTAAGGAAAAAGTTGCTACAAATGACCTCAGGAATCACCCCAGGAGTTCCAGGGTTTCCAGTTCCAGGGGTTAACATAATTATGGAACACCATATGTTTATTCGATCAACGAGAGAAAGGCTCTGTGTTACAATGGTACGACATGTCACACAAGTGACGTGTCAGAAAGAAGTAAAAAAGAAGAAACAGAAAAAAGGTTTCACAATAAAAGAAAATATACAGTGTAAGATAAAGTAAGTGATCATCTCGATAAAGCAGAAAGTAAAAAGACTTTACGATAAAAGAAAATATAAATGGAAGACGAATTAAGTGATCATCTTGATGAAGAAAAATGAGAAAAGATTTCACGATAAAGGGAAACACAAAACAGGAGATAAAGTAAGTGATCAAGATATTTAAGTAATGAGAACGGGGGAAATAAAGGAGAATACTGTAGCCCGAGATCGTTGGAACAAACGAAACAGGTTGTACTCGGATTAGGAAAATGAAAAGAGGAGTTAGCGAAAGAGTCGGGGACGGGGAGTTATCAAGAATATTAGTTGGAAATTAATCCTCGGACGGCGGACGATTTCCAATGTTCCCAAACACATTGTTGAAGACACTTTATGGTAGAATTATTCGCGTTTCTGTTGTTCCTACTGTAACATCCCTTTGCTTAATTCAATTGCCTTCAAACCTTGACCAATTAGGAGACGATTCGAATACACTGGGTCAAAACTGACCTCGTAAGGATTACGAAGGTTCGGAGGGTTGAGAGAAATCGATTATGGTAAATCGATTATTCGATCGGTTATGGTAAACCATGAGGTTCCCTCGCAACCATACTTTGCCCGCTTCCAGCCAAATCTAACGTCGGAACGTTTCTCGCGATTTCGTAGCAACAGCTGTCCGGGGCGGTTTCCTCGTCGCGGATAATCGACGTCGAAGTAAATGAAAAATTCGAAGAGAAAGCAGAAGTTTCGAGCGTCGTGGGACCGACGCGGCCATTTATTTCGTCGGGTAGAATAGCTCGAAACGTCGACGGCTCGACCGATGGGGAACGTTAATCGGGTAAGTAGCGACCGCCTCCGTAAGAGAATTCCGTTCGAGTAGCGGCCGATCCGCCGCGGGAGAATCGGACAGGGTTTTATCGATCGCCGCCGGAAGTCCCTTCGGCGAACGCCCGCAGATCCGAGGCCGCATCCGAGGCGGAAGCACTCGCCGAATTGTTCGAAATGTTTTATCGGCGTAACACCGGTTGCAAATATTGAATTCACCTACGTCTCGCGAAAGGAGGTCGTGCGTGGCCGCGCTTGTTTGACGAATATCGATGCGAACGGTATCGAAGAGCTCGCTCCGTTGATCATTGCTAGGCGACGAACACCGGTTTCGCGCCCAGGGATTGGTTGAAGTCCTCGAGGAGACCGCCGAGAACTCGCTGACACCCATTACGGTTGAACCGGATCCACCGCCGAGCACCGCTGATACGTTTAAGATCCTCCGGAGACTCGCAAACCTTCGGGAAAATCCCTGCGATCCCGGGGATCCATGGAGCCCGAGGTCCTGCGGACCTGTGCCGGAGAAATTCGAGTGGACGGGAGCGATATTCCTAACGGGTCGTAAAAAAGTTTCGGTCGACGTAAGTGCAGGATCGTGTCCCATCGTTTGCATGACTTTCGTCGGTCCGTCTCGGGCCCGGAGCGGCTTCCGTCTAATTATCCGGCGGGTTAATCGACGGACCGGGTAGCCGGAGATCCTCCACGGGGAACCTCCAAGAAAATTAGACTGTCGAACCCGTATTAAATCGGCCGATTGATGGATCGATGCGTGGCGGAGGCCACCTCTTCGAACGCCGCTCTCATCTAAAACCCGGTTTCCTCCGCCGGGCCTCTTCTCCGCCGAGCTCCGTGTGTTCTCGAGCTCTCTCGTTTTTCCTCCCGCAGAATCGACCGACTCGACGGAATTTCTGCCATCGGCTAGCCAACGGCTAATGGAATTCATTGAATCGATGAAATAAATGTACAACAGTCTTCGAGAGAGAGAGAAAGAGATCGCGATCGAAGCAGCCCAAGTGTCTCTCGAGTCGATAGGGCGGCTCCGTCGACGACCATGCGACGACTGTTCGACGACTATGCGACGACTTTTCGAAGACTATTCGACGACTATGGTCCAGGAACGGAGGGAACGATACCGGTTCCTAGAAGCTCCATCAGCGGGAGAGGAGCGCCGGAATGGCCGCCGATTCGAGCACCAACGGAGAGAGCTGATCGAAGCCGCGCGAAAACGGAGAGACTCCGGCTGTATCCCCGCGAAGTATGGCAGTCGTTTGCGAGGGCATCGTTCCCGTCGCTGCTCCCGCGGGCGGCAACAGCCTTCTTCTTCTCGGTTGTTACAACGACGCGATACTTTGAAGCAGCGCGGCAACCCGATTTTATGATCCCTCCCATAAACCGAGGTTTCACTTCGCAGTTCCCCGCAGCCGGCTTTCCCGAAACATTAAACCGGATTTCAATTCTGCCGCTCGAAAACTCATGAAAACCGGAAGACACGCCCGAAAACGA